AGGGAGCCTGACGCGGGGCTCGATCCCAGGACCCTGGGATCATGACCTGAGCCGAAGGCAGACGCTTAACCGACTGAGCCACCCAGGCGCCCCAAGTATAGTTATTTTCTTACAGTGAAGTCCTGGAAAGAGAATTATTGTATCACTGGGTGTGTACCTTCTTTAGGATTTCTGAAATTTGTTACTAAATTGCCTTCAAGAGTTTTACCAATTTATATTCCTGTAAGAAGTGTATGAGAGTCTTTATTTTGCTACCTTGTTGCTGAATAGTTTGCATACTCAGGAAATAAAGAATCAAAAGTTATATAGAGTTTACATTCTCTTTCTAGGGTGGCATGGGAATGACTTAGGTCTTCATAAGACATTGTTTCTCTTGCAGTGGTTGTGGGTAGTCTTTCTGTAGGCTGTTTAATTTAACTTATTATCTGTGACTAGATATTGCATAACATGAATTTTCTTGTTCTGAAAATTGTGGTCATTTTGTTAGAAATGACTTTGAAATAGTGAAGACTCTTTGTTGTCTGTGCCTCAGTCCCTATTTCCAGAATGCCAGGCTCAGGTAGACCCACTCATTAAGGTACCTGGCTTTCATTAAAATAAGAACTCTATGCTGCAGCCTGGCAGAAGGGACTGAGCACCAGCCTTTGGAAATGCCACCTTGAAAATAGCTAAGTGCAGGGGCGCCTGGGTGGCTCAGTCGGTTAAGAGTCAACATTTGACTTTGGCTCAGGTCATGGTATCTGGGTCCTGGGATCAAGCCCCATGTTGGGCTCCATGCTCAGCTGGGAGTTGGCTTGAGGATTCTCTCTGCCCCTCCCACCACACATGTGCGCGTGCACACACACACGCGCATTCTGTCTCTCAGATAAATAAATAAATCTTTTTAAAAAAAATAGCCAAGTGCAGGGAAGCCTGGCTGGCTCAGTCAGTGGAGCATGCAACTCTTGATCTTGGGGTCATGAGTTTGAGCCCCATGTTGGGTGTAGAGATCAATCAATACATACATACATACATACATACATAAGCAAGTCAGCCAGCCAGCCAGCCAGCCAAGTGCAAAGACAAAAAGACAGAAGACATGGGCTCTGAAGTTACATGCAAGAGGAGTTTCACACAAAAATGTGAAATATGCCATTTAAAAAAATGTCTTTTGTGTGCTTCTTTAAATCAATGGAAAGATTTTGTTTTGGGGGAAGAACATGTAAAAAACTGTATGTATCTCTTTTGTGGCCACATTGTTTTTGGTTCCACAGAACAAAAATCCTTTTATCATATTGATCCAGATTTCTGTTGGATGAATACGTAGACATTTTTGTAATGTTATACACACAATTTTGTTTTACTTTTTTTTCTTAAAGATTTTATTTAGGGGTGCCTGGGTGGCTCAGTCAGGTTAAGTGTCTGCCTTCAGCTCAGGTCATGATCCTAGGGTCCTGGGATTGAGCCCTGCATTGAGCTTCCTGCTCTGTGGGGAGCCTGCTTCTCCCTCTCCCTCTGCTGCTCCCACTGCTTGTCCTCTCTCTCTTTCTCTCTCATCAAATAAATAAATAAATAATCCTTATTTATTTATTTTAAAGATTTTATTTATTTATTTGACAGAGAGAGACACAGCGAGAGCGGGAACACAAGCAGGGGGAGTGGGAAAGGGAGAAGCAGGCTTCCCACAGAGCAGGGAGCCCAATGTGGGGCTCGATCCCAGGACCCAGGTGCCCCAATAAATAATCTTTAAAAAAATAAATAAATAGGGATGGGGCACCTGCGTGGCTCAGTCGTTAAGCGTCTGCCTTTGGTTCAGGTCATGATCCCAGGGTTCTGGGATCGAGCCCCACATCGGGCTCCCTGCTCCGTGGGAAGCCTGCTTCTCCCTCTCCCACTCCCCCTGCTTG